TCAAATATTTTCCAATTCCCTCTTTTTTCGTCTTTTGAACGTTTTGTATTTTCTGGCTCGCCATTCGTCTCTTCCAACTCTTCAACGCCTCCCTCATCCACCCCCTCCTCCGACACCCCCCTCCCCCGCCAACACGCCACATTTGGAAATCGCAATCTTCCCTTCCTTGATCGTTCCCATGTCTCCTATCTTACTCACTTTCTCTCTCTATCCCACCCCTGTCTCTCCCCCCCCCTCCACTAATCATTGCCCTCGCTTTCACCTTTCTCTCCTTGTTTCCAACCCCAGCATTTTTTTCTTCTATTTTTAGCGCTTTTCTTTTCTTAATTCTTTGTCTCATCTCATGGGCGCCAACAGTAGAGAAATAGTGACTAAGACATGCAGACCATTTGATACGTGTTCAATCCTCACCTGTTTGGTTTGTTTTTTAGAGTGATGTTCACATTGCACAAGGGTTAGGAGCCACTCGAGGTAGAGGGTTAGAGAGTAAGAGGTATGGTTTCTGCGGATATGTGGTGAACGGTTAACTTGAACAGGTTAAGATTGTAGTGATCAGGAAAATATCCTCTTGGGAGTCGTTTCCGCAAGGCAGTGGTTCGGCGGAAGAATCTGCTTGTGTGGAACTTACATCTCACCAGTGGAACAAGAAAACGTGGTTCGCTACAATGGGCGTAGGATGGCGGGTCTTAGGACGTAGAACGCTAGAACTGGTGTAGGGTGGAAAATAATTCATCACCCACAAGGACGGGGAGACGCTTTTAGACTCTATCAAAACTGGAAAGTGAAGACTGTTCAGTTCCTGCTCGTATATGGCAGCAGTATTTCGTTTTAAACTTAATCTCTTTCTTGTAAATTTAGAAGATAACACGTGGAGTCAGAGACTTACTAGAGTAGGAACCTGGGAACCGTCCATTTTCCCAACATTAGCTTTGCATCGTACCTGCGAGCTCCACTGGGTTGAGTTTAAGATCCAATAGACGCTCCAGGCACGGGACCTCCCGAAAGGAACATCCATTTATCGTGATTGGTAATAGCTCACGGTTTGGATCGAATGAAGTTCACTACTTGATAAACAGTCGCTTCTTCTAGAATAAAAGCTAGCGAACAAGTTCTGCAGTTCCTAGTGTTCTCCCAATTAAATGCTCAAAAGCCACTGAAGGTAGAGGCTTAAAGAATGAACTTAATTTGTTTTGTTTTACGGTATATCAACCTCAATGGGTTATTTAATGCCGACAAGAATTTTATTTCTGGTAATAATTTTTTCTTCAAAAATTCATTGCTGGTAATATTTACAAAAATCTACTGCTGGTATTAAAACCTATTTTTAGACTTTCATAGTGTTTTAACCCTAGTTTGGGTATTAACTGTTTGCCCATAACCGAGACCTAACAGGTGCTACCACCCCGGGTTATGGCCCTCAAAACCTCCTGGTCAGAGACCTTGCTGTCAGATGTAGTATATCGTCTTACCCAGGACGCAAGAATAAGGTTGGTGATATGAATGTAAGAGTAAAATAGAGGTGGGAATATGTCGGATAGAAATGATAGACCATTGACTTGATAAGGTTAACATTGTAGCATACGGAGAAACAAACAAGTGTTGGCGAAAAAAAAATGCCTGTGACACATCCGCTTTACAACTGAGAGAGCGAGTAAATGATTCACTTCATTAACACAACATGGTGGTTCTTAGATGCAAATGTCTGAATTGGCGGAACTAAAGAAAAGAACTCGTCCAAATATTTACCATGTAAATAGCAATAGAATAACGATAGTCTTGCAACATTGTTATCTGTTGGAAAGAGGCCGCAAATTTCGCCAGACCGCGTAAACAGTTTTGTACTCAATCAGGGCCGGAACATGAAGATTGGGCAGCTCCAGCCCAGACACATCAGCAAATATCCATTTTTCATCTGACTCATATAAAGATAAAAAAAATGCTAGAATGAGTCAAGTGCTATATTCATGAAATGAGTTCGGCCTTCGGATTAGACTAAAATAACCTGTACCAACTGCCAACCCAACTGGTATGCAGATGACAGATTCTACGTGTTCAAGGATGATTCGAAAACAGAAATGTTTCATTGAATATTGAAAAATTAGCATCTTTCTTTTCAGATGACCGTTGAATGGGAGAGTGATTCTTCTTTTATGGATGTCGTGTTACAAAGACTTAATCTAAAGTGTAGCGTAATCCCACGATTTTTGGTTCATATATGTCGCAGGGGGTATTTTTATTGAATGTTTTTAATTATTCCATTCCAAGAAAGGCAAGAAAGCCACTTAGATGCAAGGGGGTTGCTGAATGTAAGAAAATTGAAAACATTAGAGAGAAAAATAAAAGAACATTAAGAAGAAAAAAGATAAGGATTAAAATTGTATTTTAATCTTTGAAGATCAAATCTGATTGGAAAGTGTAAGGTCAGTTTACTCAAAACCTATATAGAGATATATACAGATATTGAAAAAAAATTCTGATCACTTTAAGAAAGCCGGAGCGCGCAACGGCCAAAACCTTGTGAATATGTAAAGGAAAATGAAGATACAGTCCGAATAATGTAAATAATGCAAGTTGTTATTTCTCCTTCTAACTTAGGAGAACAATTCGTTAGTGATCGAGAAATTAAGGTTTTGAGTAAACGTACCTTACACTTTCCAAAAAAAAAAAATAAAAATAACACAGACCCAAAGACAAAACAATGGTTAATCTCTGTCTATATCGCCGAGATTAAGTATTATCATTACTTGTATAATTTACATAATTAAAGGGAAATAACTGAGACATCCAGAAGAAGCATGGCACGTGGAATTAGAACTATTTACCCCTGTGGACGAAATAAAGTGTTCAGTTCGAAATTCCAACCACCTGAAGAAGGTCGGAGCCTACAATGGCCGAAACGTTTTGAATATGGCAATGAAGATGAGGATAACAGTCCGAATAATGTAAATAATGCAAGAAATTATAATACCTCATGTATATCTGTGTTTATTTTATTTATGTTTTCTTTCGTTTCATTCTTGTTCATTCATTGTTTTCTTTTTTTTTCTTTCCTTTTTATTATTATTTGTCAGTTATTTCGATTCTTAAATATTTTTCTTTCTTTCTTTCATTGCATCCTATATTTTTTCATTCTTAATTTTTTCTTTTTTTTTTCTTTTTCTCCGACGGTTATTTGTATTCCTACGCCTTTCTTTCTTTTTTCTTTCTTTTTCTTTCTCTTCGACGGTTAATCTTACGCCTTTCTTTCTTTCTTTCTTTCTTTTTTCTTTCTTTTTCTTCGACAGTTATTTATATTCATACGGCTTTCTTTCTTTCTTTCTTTCTTTCTTTCTTTCTTTCTTTCTTTTTTATCCTTTTCGTCATGCTATCATCATTTCTTTTTTAATTTTTCTATATTTTATTTTCTGATTCTCTATTCATATCCCATCTCTCTATCTCTCTCTCTCTCTCTCACTCTATCTCTCTTTGTTCCTATCTCGTTTCTTTCTTTCTCTTCCCCTTTCTCTCTCTCCCTTTCTCTCTCTCTCTCTCTCCTGCATCTCTCCTTTTCTCATCCCTTGCGTCTGCGTTCCTATTCTATTTCTGTTTTTTCTCTCGCCTCTCTTACTCTGTTTCTATCACATTTCTCTTTTTCTCTTCCATCTGTCCCTTTGTTTCTATCTCCCCCTCTTTTTTCACACTCTGTTTATTTTTCTGTCCTCTCTCTCTCTCTTTCTCTCTCTCCCTCTCTTTCTATCGCTGTTCCAAATACGAGTTCTATTCCTAATGTCCCCACCACCTTACCAATTCTTCTAGATTTCGTAACAGAAAATTAAGGACAAACCTTCCGTCGATTCAAACCAAGCCCCTATACTTCTCCGCCTCGAATGCCATCCACCTTAACCATAACCCCACCCGACGTCTTCACTTCATCCACTTGTTCCCCTCTACCAACCCTGTGATTCTTTTCTCCCCTTCCTCATCCAATACCTCATCTCTCCCCAGCGCACATTATCCGCCATCTTGTAACATTCCAATGCACCATCAAGGCGTGCTATGCTTACCACAGTGTCCCTATTTAGTGCAGACACATTAAGAAAGAATGGTAAATGCGTATAACCGAGAGGTGAAGAACCAATGAATGATATTTTAGCGATTCTATCATCGCTTGTAGGATATGACGTCATTGCTAATGTCAGGATTCCATCACTGGCTGATCGACGCTTCAACTGGTGTGAAGGGGCGACTACAGTTTTCTTTCTTTTAATTGACAACTGTATTTTTCTTCTTTTTTTTTTATAGTTTGGATGAAAAGAACTTTGTCGTATTTCGCGAAACCGTAGCAGTTTAGAGTCGTTGGAAGATAAAAAGATCCTCATATGAAGAACGCACTACATATTCATATACAGATCTCTCCCTTTCACTCCATTTATCTTTCTCCCTCTCTCTTTCTCTCTCTCTCCCTGTCTCTCTCTCTTTCTCACTTTCTCTTTCTCTTACTCTTTGTCTTTTCTCTTACTCTTCTATCTCTCTTTCTCCCTCTTTCTCTTTCTCTATCACTCTCCCGCTCTCTTTCTCCCTCCCCTTCATTTTCTGTCTCTTTCTTCCCCACTCACGTTCTCTTTCTATCTCTCTGTTCTCTTTCTCTTTCTTTCACTTTCTCTTTATTTCTCTCTCCCACTCTCCCCCTCTTTCACTTTCCTTCTCTTTCTCCACTCCCTCTCTTACTCTCTTTCTCTCTTTCTCTTTCTTACTCTCTCTTCATCTTTCTCTTTCTTTTTCTCTCATTTTCTATCTCCTTCTATCTCTCCCACTTTCTCTCCCCCTCTCTCTTTCTCTCTCCTCTCTCCCCCTCTCCCTATCTCTATGCGTATGTGTAGCACTTCTTTACGCCGCACAAAGAGTCTATGGAATGGACACTTCGAGCGACGGGAAAATGATAATCTCGAGATACTGAAATTCACAGCAATATAAATGTTTTAATATAAGTAAAATTAATTAAAATAAGTGAATGAATAAAATTATAAATAAATTAAATCGCTGCATTTTTTGATGATATCGATAAATGATGTGCAAAAAAGAAAATTAGAAATTAAAATGAGAAAATAAAAGAGAAAGAAATAAAAGAAAGAAAAATTGAAAATAAAAAGAGTGTTTACAATAGAATGAAAAAAGAGATTAAAAGTAGGGAAAAAAGGGAATAAAAACGAGAGAATAAGTGGGACTAAAAAGAGAGACGAAAAAGATGGAAAAGTGGGAATAAAAAGGAGAGAAAAAGAGGGAATACAAAGAGAGACTGCAGGGGAGATAAAAGTGTGAATAAAAAGAGAGACTAAAAATGGGGAAAACAGGGAATAAAAACAGAGACTAAAAAGGAGGGAAAATTGAGAATAAAAAGTGAGACTAAAAATGGGGTAATGAGGGAATAAGAAGAGAGAATAAAAGGGAGGGAAAATCGGAATAAATGGAGAGAAAAGGAGGGAAAAAAAGGCCAAAGAGGAGGGAAAAGTGGGAATAAAAATGAGAAAAAAGAGAGAAAAGTGGGAATAAAAACAGAGACTAAAAATTGTGAAAAGAGGGATTAAAAGGGAGACTAAATAGGAGGAAAAAGAGAGACTAAAAAGGAGAGAAAAAGAGGGACTAAAAAGAGAGACTAAAAAGGAGAGAAAAGTGGGAATAAAAAAGAAGAGATGAAAATGTGATAAAAAGAGAGTCTAAAAACGAGTGAAAACTGGGAATAAAAAGGTGAGAAAAAGAGGGAATAAAAAAAGAGTAAAAAGAGAGAAAAGTGGGAATTTTTATTCCCACTTTTCTCTCTTTTTACTCTTTTTTTAGAGCTTAAAAATTGGGAAAACGGAATAAAAAGAGAGACTAAAATGGAGGGAAAAGTGAGAGTAAAAAGGAGAGAAAAGCAGGGAATAAATAGAGAGACTAAATAGGAGGGAAAAGTGAGAATAAAAAGGAGTAGACTGTTCTAGTTCTACGTGCCATGTTTAATGGATGTCAGTTATCTCCTGTTAATTTCCCTCTGAAAGCTCTCCACTGACTTGACTGGGTATTGAACTCACACTCTTTGGATCTTGTCACTGGATCAAACCAACGTCTTTATCCACTGTGTCATGTGTTCTTGTCTTGTGCCGACGTATAGAATGCCGTTGTTATTTTTTTTTGTCGTTTTTCATCATCACTTCATTCTGTATAAAAGTAAAATACTTTACTTACCTTTTTTTTTTGCAACTGAATCTGGACTTTTGTTTTGTTTACTCATCAGCAGATTTTATTGAGTTTATTTTCCAATTATATTTTTTCTCTAAAAAAAATGATATTCATTTACACCTGGCTACTTAGGCAGAGGAAAAAAGACTGATCTACTAAGATCCTCCGGTATTTCACCAGTGTCGTATATTTAATTTATTATTTCCGTACTTTCAATGAAAGTAATTTCTCTGGGGATTCAAAAACTGCATTAAATTGACTAAACCAGTTTTTAATTTCTTCCAATTTTCTGACGATCGACGAAATGTAAAAGTTAGACTAAAGCCTGTGTATCAAGCAATATTGAGATACTGCAAATGCTTTAATGAGTAGACTGGTAGATTTGTTATTTTACGGTGATTTAAAGCCAGAAATATTCTACGTCTGGAGATAATACAGATTTAATGATACAACATCATGTAAATAACGCATAGCTTGGGGAAAAGGAGTTAATCCATCCCTTTCCCGAGGATATTAGTGCTTGAGTGAATATAACGAACTGTTATAACCTAGAAAGGGTTACTGAATAAAGAATAAGCAAAATGGAGATTGGAAATGAAATGGTAATCTTTAAATAAATTACTCGCCAGCGGTGTGAAGTAGGTAAACCACTGCTAGTGGTGGACTACTTAGACAGCATATTACCCCCACTTACAGTAGTGTCCAACGTATTTATGAGAATTGAGACATATTCATTAGTGTTCATAGGTATGGTATATAACACTAACACAGTCTATTCATATCTATCTATCTATCTATCTATCTATCTATCTATCTATCTATCTATCTACATATACTAAATCTATCTATCTGTTCATATCTATCTATCTATCTATCTATCTATCTATCTATCTATCTATCTATCTATCTATCTAGAAACCTAGAAAGTGATACTGGATGGGGAATAACCAAAACTGAGTTTGGAAATGAAATGATAATCTTTATAATATGAACTAAATACAATACTCGCCAGCGGTGTGAAGTACGTAAACCACTGCTAGTGGTGCACTACTTATGCAGAATTTTACCCCCACTTATAATAGTGTTCAACGTATTTATGAGGATTGGGACATACTCATTACTGTTCATAGGTACGATATATAAAAACGAACCTAAGTGGAATTAGAAATCGGCTCTCCGATCTCATTTCTGGGCAGTTAAACCACGCACACCTCCAAGCTTGCAGCACATGGTATTCGCAGGCAGTTACCCATCTAGATAATGATCATACTCGGCGTTGCTTAAATTCGGTCATCGTACACGAACAGATGTTTCAAGATGATGTGGCCGGAAGACTTGTAATGAGTAGAGTAGAAGGTTATTCTATGCGAGGAGGATTTTTGCGCGTTCATTTCCAGTGTTTCTTCCCAATATTTTCATCTTCGAGCAGAAACAAGTTTTGTACGAAGCAATATTCTTTCCTGACAAATAAATGATCTTCGAAAAATCAGTTCATTGCTGAGCCTGTCCGTTGTTTGACTCTGTCACTAGACTAATACCACCTGCATCGGGCACAGAGTTTATTACGACGGTAAGCTATTGAGGCAATTTCAACGCCTGTACACAGCTCACAGAAATAAATGTGACACCAGCATGCACGGTGTTTAGACATTCTGGGAATATTCTAAGATATATATATATATATATATATATATATATATATATATATATATTTATTCCACCGTGCCTCCTCAGCCGGATATATATATATATATATATATATATATATATATATATATATACACACACACACACACACACACACACACACACACACACACACACACACACACACATATATATATATATATATATACTGCTGAGGAGACACGGTGGAGTAATAGATAGCGGCTTGGATTGAGGAATCGGAGAGCCGAATTCGAATTCCAGTCGAATCCATTACATTCACTACGTGCTAATACCCTTGGGAAAGATGTGAATCCTGTTTTTCTCCCTCCATCTATGGGCAAATAGCAGGACAGACTGGGTTCTATAACCTTGGATGGCAACTGCTCTAGGAGAAGGACAACTCTGATTTCAAATCCGGAGCGGAGCCCCTAAGGCGGATGGACGGCACTTTGTGCTACCTTCCGGCAACTCTTGCAGCCGCGCTGGTACCAAACTGTATTGGTTTATCCTCTCCTTTGGACACTGCTACCAAGGCCGATAGGGGGAACTCTCCGGGCAGCCCTAGTTCTCTATATATCCCCCCAGGTTCGTAGTGCACCACGCTACTCCATCGTCTCTCGAGACGGACGGATGCCGAGGACGACAACGATATCCGGCTATTGACATTTTGTATTGCTGCCATAATATTTCAGCCGATTAGTTCTTCCACCTTCTGCAAGTGTACAAAGTGTATAAAGAAGGGGTTTCTTCGCATTTAAAGCCGTGCTCAACGAGACTGCAAAACGGAATAAAAACAATAGTAAATATGATTATATTTTCTCAGATGACAGACGATTTCATATTCTATGTGTCGACTCTACCTTCAGTTCTTTAATTTCTGATCAAAGAAATCTACACATAACATCCATACTGGAATTACCGTATATTCCGGCTTACAAAACGCGCTTCTTTTTTTCTAAAAATACCCTAAAAATACGAGTGCGTCTTCCAAGACGAATATAAGGTAACAACCAGGCATCAATTATTTATAGATCTGGGTCGCAATTAAGTTATGCTTTTTAATACAACATACGCTATTTTTTGCTTTGCTTGGATGGTCACCTAATTGGCTTGACTGATAGGGACGTGGATTTGTATTTTGTGTCATTACACTATAATGCTAGATATCTCTCTATTTCAGCCTTTTATAAAATGTAACCTCAGTACTTAGCTGTTACAAGTATTTCCAAGACTATAAACCTTCCTGAAGCTGAGCCACAAACTTTACATGCTCTGTTTACTAGCAGCGGCGGGAGCCTTTCTCTTCTTGACAGGTATATCACTGTCATACAACCAAAATCGGACGAGCGATTAGTATAAACTATACGTGACCCCAGTATGCGAGAGACGCTTGATGAATGTGTTGTTGTATGAAAATGGCTTTTTTTTTCTTAGAAATTTCTTTCCAATATTAGGCTGCGTCTTCCAAGCCGCGTCATCTTGTAATCCGGAGAATATGGTAATAATTTTCCGCATTGCTAGTGTACACAGTTCTTTTTAAATTTTTTCTCTTCTTCCAAGAATGCTCTCTATCTAACTTTATCACCAGACGTTTTGTTATCTTTAAAAAAAATAAATAAATAAATAAACAGGTCGAAACAACATGAAAAAGTGACCCCTTCTGAATTCGACCAAAAATTAGAGACATCATAGAAGTTCTAAGGTTACTCTTACAACTTATTGGTTTGAGTAAAAAAAAAATCAATATCTTTTTGTATGCCATATTTCCGATCATGGCTCTCCACAGTTTCATTTTCTTTTTTTTCATGAACTTCTGTTAGTTCCTGGGGTAGACAGTGGTGCGATTTCCAGTTGCCTTCTCATGGGTTTTGTATACAGAGTAGGTCTTCTCTAAGACAAGTTGAAATCCAGTCTTCAGAGAACCCAGTTTATGCTTACCAAATAATTTTATGAATTTTCTTTTAATGTCATGCCTCTGCAGACAAAAACGAAGAAGAATATAGATAAAAATAAGTTTATCTTGGCAAATGTTAAAATATAATACAGGGAGAAAAATACAGGAAGTTGTGGAGAACTGTGATCACACACCTCCTGAAAATAGTAGGTACATTAAAGAGGAATGTAGAAGGCCAAAAACTTATTTAAGCTGGCAAATATTACATTATAATTCATAGGGACAAAGGACTTGAAGTTGTGGAGAGGCATAATCGTATACGTCGGGAAAAGACATGGCACATAGACGATTTCACAATTTGAACTTTATGTTGCAAATATGAGGTTCTTTTTTTTTCTTCTTCTTTCCTTTTTCTTCTGTTTACTTCTCTAATCTTCTTCTTCTTCTTCTTCTTCTTCTTCTTCTTCTTCTTCTTGTTTCTTAATACTTTGCTTAGCTTTTGGAAGGCATGTTTTTCTATTCCAAGAATGTCCAGAATCTATGTTCACTATTCTTCCATACTTCGAATATTACTGGCACATATGGTCAGGTGCTGCCGCTATTTTGTCTTGTGCTCCTTGGTAAAATCCAAAAAAGAATCAGCAATATTATTGGCCTGGATCTGGCATTACTTTCCCACCTTCGTCAGGTCTCCTCTTGTGGCTTTTCTATAATTACTTTAATGTTAATTATTCTGACGTTCTCTTCTTTATGGTGTCCAGACCATTTGAATTTACGCGCGCTGCTTACATGTCTGGCGACGAGGTCTCATCAATTTACACTTGAATTGGCTAGAGGCAACCGTAAGTTCTATGCTAACAGTTTCTTTTCTCACGCTTCTCGCTTGTGAAATTCCCTTCCGGTTCCATGCTTTCCAGCCATCTTTAATCTACAAAACATTAAATGCAATGTCAATCGCTATCTGCTGTCTTCCTGATTTTTCTTCTTTTGTTCTCGCTCCTTAGCAATATTTCTGTTTCTAACCCTAACCCACGCCCAGGAAGCCCTTGTGTCTCTGTCGTTTTACCGCCTTGCTTGCAATGAAGTCGAATAAAATAAAATAAAATTTCTGAACTTTTTTGATGCTGTCGTCCTCGGTAAGACGATAAACTACATCCAGCAGCAATGCCTCTGATTAAGAGGTTTCGAGGAGCGTGGAACCATCTCTTAATTGCTGGTGTTCCCAGGTCTACCCTGACCCAGAGTGTTAGCACCTGTTAGGGTCCCAGCTATGGGAAAATAGTTAACTATTACCAACAATAGTTTTTTTGAAAAAAATTATTACCAGCAATACAATTTTGAAGGAAAAATATTACCAGAAACAGATTTTTGACAAAACAAAATATTACCAGCAATAAAAAATGTTGTCGGCATTA